TAGGTGAATGAGTGCTTGCCTGCATGCATTTAAGTCCACTGCATGTGTGCCTGGTGCCTGTAGGGGGCACCAGATCTCCTGGAACTGCAGTTATGGATGGTTGTAAGCTGCCACATGGGTGGTAGGAACCAAACCTGGGTCCTCTGCTCTTAACTAAGCCATCTCCCAGACCCTGTCCACAGCCTTAAATGCACTCACATTCTTTCGTTTGCCTAATTGAACCTCATTTTTATCCTTTACGTCTGCCTCTGTGGGATTCGCTCTGATTTCTCACTATAAACCTTGCATCGGACAATAACAGTGTCACAGTTCAGTGCTATGCTGGGTTGACGTTCCCCCCTACAGCAAATGAAATGTCCAGTGGCTTTGAAGTCAGCATCACTTAAATAAGACATTTTCAGGATGTGAGAAGATCATATCGCATGCCTTACCAGACTCTCACACGAATGGCCTCCACCCATTTCCCAACACAGTCCTTTTTGCCTAAACCTCATCCATGATCTTTACTGCCTGTGTTTGGGCATCCTGGTCTCCCACTGGCCCAGCCCACTAAGCTTTGCTTACAACGTTCCCTGACTAAACATTACTACCCTTGTGTGTAGCACCTCTCAAGCAAAATCAGAGTTACTGATCCCGAAAACAAAAACTTCAGTCCACATTTTCTCCTGTCAATGTCTTGGATTTTCTGATAATTTTTAACTGTAAATAGATGGAAATGATATCTTATTACTTAATTTATATTATTTATGTATCAATATAGATTTTCTCCATTGTTTACAGACTAGTTAGTCTTTTATGAAATGTTTGAGGTGTTGCTTATGTATTTATTGGAATGTTACAGTCTATCTGTCAAGTATATTCTTTATCTTTTTGTTGTTGTTTTTTTGTTTTGTTTTTTGGGGTGTTAGAGAGATTGTCGCTAGGGCCTCTTGCATGCTCAACAACTCACCTACAGGCTGCATCTCAGCTCTGTCCTACAGTGCTGGGGACTGTTTACTGGGTGCTTTCTGTGTCCCTGTGTGTTTCTTACATCTGTCCTACAGTGCTGGGGACTATTTACTGGGTGCTTTCTATATGCCTATGTGTTTTTGTTGTTTGTTTTTGTTTTGTTTTGCTTTGTGACAAGGCATCTCCATGTAGCTCTGGCTGTTCTGGAGCTTGCTTTGTAGACCAGGCTGGCTTCAAACTCACACAAATCCACTTACCTCTGCCTCCTGAATGCTGGGATTCAAAATATGCCCATCCTGTCTGGCCCCTTTGATCATCTTCTTCTTTTTTTAAACAAAAGCTTTATTTTAATTTTAATTGTATACATGTACAAGTTGGTTGTCTGTGAGAAGGAATCATGGATCCCCTGGAGCTGGAGTTATAGGCAGCTATGAGCTTCCTGGCCTGGCTTCTGGGAACTCTTCTTCCTCTGGAAGAACAGGAATTACTCTTAACTGCTAACGCTAATGCCTGTGTACTGTACTCTGATCTCTATCCTTCCATTTACAGTCAAGAGTCTGTATGCAGTGCATTACTACTGTGGAGTGTATATTCCATATATAGAGATAATAACCCTAGCTAATGTTTCTTAACGTTGTGCATCTAAGTGTTTTTGCTGCTTTTATTATAGTGATGAGGAAATGGCCAGTCAGAGAGTTCTGTGACTGATTGGTGGCCGCAGAGGTAACGCAGCCTAAATCCAGCATCCTTGCTCTGACTCAGAACAGCTAAGTTATGTATTTTCCTTAGTATACGAAGTATTGTATTATGTGTTTAAATATCTAGTAAGGTGAGGTTTTGGTTGATGTTTTAATCATAGAACCTAATAGTCATCCTTAAGCCTAGTTTGATACTTGCTGGATTTATTGAAGGAGAAATTTTAGGTGCTTTATTCTTAGTGACAGTGTGTCTGCAGCTGCCACTTCCCTCTTAGAACTGGACCATGTCATTCCTTAGTGTTGCTGATTTCGATCTCTGTGATTGGCCTTTGGGGTGGAGGGAATGAATAGAATACGTTCTTTATAGGGAGGTAAATGGGAATGACTGCCACTTAGAAGCCAGGACGCGTCTCCCGTGCTCTTGAGTTCAAGGAGGTTTAAGGTGCTAACTTAGCAGCATCTGGCTCATGCTTTGCAGAGCAAATTCTCTCATCCTTATCCAGTGTGACCCCCGGGCGCGCCTCAGCCTGGCTGAGGGACGTGTCTGCATAGGCTTTTTTTTTGTTTTTCCTTAAGTGTGTTTTAGATGCTGAAATAAAAGAATACCTCGTTCTCTAGGTTTTCTTGCAAATATTTATTATATTTCTTTGACTATGTTACCTGCTAAACCACTTAGTCTTTGAATGTGCTAAACTGCTTATGGTTCTGAAAACATCAGAATCCTGAGGGAAGAAGACATGTCTTCCTAATGTCGGATTTTTAAAAAGCGCTTTGATGAGCAGACCTCTGTATAAGTTCTCCGTAAGCTATCACTATCCTTCAACAGAATCTGTTAGCCGTTTTTACAAAGCAGGGGTGCTATTAGAAACTGCTAATAAAAAGTGGGTGCTTGTTTTTGTGCTAATACTAATTACTGATCATGCGTGCTTATGTTTGTCAGTCACTCCGTGGTGTGGTACCAATCAGTGGGTGACTGAGACGCAAGCACTTATACATGGAAATGAATTACTTTTTTTTTTTTAAGTGAGTCAGGATGGAAGGCAACTCTAGGTCATAGAGATCTCTTCTCTTTAATGCTAATGAAACGTCTCCACTCTCTGCTTGCTGGCAGACTACCCTTATTGGTAATCTGTAGCCTTGTCTTTTATTCTGGATGGTAATGAAATGCTGGGTGCTGAACACCCCAGCTCTCCAAGAATGTGGGGCCAATTGTCTTCTGTTCACTTACACTGTAAAATTACTGTTCCCCAGCAAGGCGGGATGAGTGCAGGGCCAAGATCAAAGCGTCTACACTGGCATCCAGCTGCAGTGGGTGACTCCTGCTTTATTAATTAGTCATAGCTCCTCCAAGTTAATTTTCTCAGCTAGCACAAAAACATTCCATAATGTAAAAACAGCTAAATGGAACTCAACCACAGGCCGACTGTCCCCCTGTCTGCTCCATGCATTTCTGGTTTAAGCTTTTGTTCAGTGTCACCAGCTGAATATTCCGCTCTGAACCTCGGGGCACAAAAGCTGTTTTTCCTGTTTTGTTCCAAAAAGCATCGTGGCTATCGTCAAGGGACTGCCTTTTGTTTTCTAATATTGTGTCACATTTCATTGATTTTCACCGTAAAGTAAGTGTATGGAGAAAGCTAGACCCAGCTTCTAAACCGAATTTAAAAGTTCGGTTCCTGCTGAATTTTGCAAGCTCGTTCTGTCCCCTCATCAGAAATGCTGCTGGTGTTTAAGCGTTTGAAAAGGACCTTCACTATGAATGTTTTTGTGAAAGCAAAATTTGTCCATGATCCTGAGCGCCCCCTGAACTCCCCCAGTCTCTTTCTTCTTCAGTGAGCACTTGAAGTTCCAGGAGTCTTTTATAGAAGGCATTTCCAGTAGTTTCTCTTAGGTAATATGTTTTTAAGTCATTGCTTGAGACAAAAAGAACCCCCTGCTCCCAGCTGTCCCTCCTGGTTTCCTTTGGTTTAGGTAGATGGAAAATCTTCACTATCAGGAAGATCCTGGCCACGAAGAGAAAAGCAGGTTAGACCTGTGCAGCTCAGGTTTGACTGGCTGTGTTATAAGGGATTAGTTGGTAACCTGTTGTTTCATGAGCAAATAGGAAGATTCCCATGCATTTCTGTATCCTGTAACAGAGGGAAAATTTAAAGAGGTGGGGCGTTAGTAAGCACATGGAAGGCAAATGTAACTGAGATTTTTTTTGAGATGTGCTGGTAAAGGAAGTCCAAGTACTCTCCTACTGGGGTATGTAAGAACCATTCAGCAGCTGCAGGGGTCAGCGTGCGTCCTCATCCAGCATTAGGTTGTGTGTGGAGCTTCCCTCTCTGATTGCTGATTTCTTTGTGAACTGTAACAGCCTCTTTTAAAAGTGGCCGTTAAGTGGACTTTTTGATTATGGATTTGAAGAAGAAATAATTTTAGAAGAGACCAGTAGCTGTGGTCCTGTTGCCTAACTGGCGTATTTTATGCCTTGCTTTATCTGCACGAAGCATTTCTTGTTTTGCCAGAGGCTGTTTTAAAGCACTGGTAAGGGATGGATTTATTTCTTTTTCTTTCTTTTTTTTTTTTTTGCAGGAATATTTGTGTTTGGAAGGTTAGCAGAGGCTGGCATGCTGGAAGTGACTGCAGTGCCTCTGGATTATTCATGGACAGTAATAGAAGGCACTTAAAAAGAACAATGAAATTGCTTATTTCTGTGATGGGCCATCTGTTGAATTGTTTTGTGCAACAATTGCACAATAGTATCTATGTCATATCATTCTATTTTCAACAGCAGCTGATTATGTCTCACTGGCCACTTGTCCTTATTTCTAAAGTCCCATGACCATTAAAAGTCACCTTTCCAGGGACCTTTGCCAGAAAGGTATTAGGAATTGCAAATAGCCTGTATATTTTAATATTGTTATTCTTACTCCCTTGCCTTTGTGTGTGTGTGTGTGTGTGTGTGTGTGTGTTTGTGTGTGTGTATTGGAGGGGGTGATGGGGGTGGCAGTGTAAGGAGAGAGTTGCTCATGTTCTGATTAATTGGATTTCCTAAATGGTCAGGACAGCTTCCTGTGTTTTCTGCGTATGCTTGGTGAAGAAGTTAGCATAGAGCCATTTGATGATCTGGGTGGAATGATCAGCCCACAGCACAGGATGTGTGAGTTTAGAAAACTGTTCCATGGCCTTTCATGCTTTTAATTATCTACTCTTTTCCTCAGGACGATAATTAGAATTTTTCCTCTCCGATTCACTTCCATCTTAACCAAAAAAAAAAAAAAAAAAAAAAAAAAAAAAAAAAAAAAAAGCCATTAGCAAATTTGTTAGAGCAGAAGTGAAATTAAAAGAAAACAAATGTGTTGTCGTCCACAGGTCACTGACATCGCCGACGCCATGATTCTCAAACAGCTTTTTGAAAATCTGTTCAAAAACGGGGTCGTCGTTGTGGCAACATCCAACAGACCACCGGAAGGTAACGGAACATCGCGCTCCCCATCCAATTAGATGGAGACTTAGGAAGCTTTTCAGAAACTCACGTTCCTGTGGCAATTTTCTTGTACTTACAAATCTGAGGACTTCACCTACCCTTGGTTTTATAACAGGCTCAATCTGAAAAATTAGTCTGAATTCACATTTAAAAATATTTCTGATTTTTTTGTTTTTGTTTTTTTAAGCAAGCTGAGCCCAGCTGATTCCCATGTTGGATATGGTCCCCCACACTAGACACGTGATGTGTACATATAAAAATGCAAGTCTTTTTAGCTGCTTTTTATGCCGTAAAGGAAAGTGCAATGAAATGAAAAACTCTTAATTAAATTTTAGAAAAAGATGAAGCTTACTTTCATGAGTAGTTCTTTTTTCTTCTTCACTTAATTTATCATTTCTGAAAAGGCACTTGTGGCTTATTAGGAAAAGTATTTAAGAATTAAAATACAAGTAGTAGTTAGACAAATGTAATACATTTCAAATCTTGTATTTTCTATTTTTTTTTTTAGCTCATCATGTGGTCAGTTAAAGGTGAGGAATCCAAAAATAATGTTTCACAAGGGACTGTCACATTCTTGCTCAGAAGAGCCTTTCCAGAGGGCTGAGCTTGTCTGCCTGATTGTATACCCAGCCTTGCCCTGTAGTGTTCCTGTTTATGTCTCTCTCTCTGTTTTCCCACAGCACATATGCCCCTCCATATTAGACTTATTTATTGTATTTTTGGCTCGTTGTCTGCCCAGAAGCTGTCTGAGGGCAGCGATCAATCGGTGTCTTGTATCTAGGCACTTTAGGTGTCCTAACACACGGTTGGATCTCAGTAAACGGCCTCAGAATGAGTGTAGAATGTCTACATTTCTGCAAGAATCTCTGGCTGCAGTGCAGAATGGATTGCAGGGTTTAAGACTGGGAGTAAGAACTGAGAAGGCTGTAGTGACATTCAGAGGAGCTGGGGCTGTGGTAAGAAGTGCTCAGATGCTGTTTCTATTATAGGCTGAGTCAACAGGGCTTACTGATGGACTGGGTCATAGGGAATAGAAAAGCAGAGACCAACCAAGCCATCTACCACTGGGCTATCATCTCCTCATCCTTCAAGAGTGTGGGAAAGGGCTGGAGAGATGGCTCAGCGGTCAAGAGCATTGACTGCTTTTCCAGAGATCCTGAGTTCAATTCCCAGGAACCATATGAGATGGCTCACAACCCACAACCATCTACAGTGTACTCTTAAAAATAAATAAATCTTAAAAAAAAAAAAGAGTGTGGGAAAACTCTGCTAATTGAGTCTACCATTGGCCTTCTGGGACTTGTCGAGTAATAGAGGATTCCTTGTTAAGAGATTTTCTCCTTCTCTGACCTTGTCTGGGGAATTCTAAGCCCCCTCACTGGCCTCTACCTGAGGAATGTCACATAGCCTCTATTAGTTTATAGGATTAATTCCTATTCTCCTGACAAAACCTGTTTAGCCAGCACCTGGGATTTCTGAAGTGCTAATAAGGCATGCTGGGTACCCTAATCTGTCCCCCATGACTCTTGCCCATCTTGGACTCTTGGACGGCCCTGACCCCAGTCCCCTGAATCTATATAAGTAAAGCTGACCTGCCTCCTGACAGTGTGGTCATTCAGCAGACCTGCTCACAGGGTTTCCGACCCTGCTCCCCCACACTCAATGTCTCTGTTCCCTCTGCCTGTGTGGACTTAAGGGTTGACAGTCCACCAGGGCAGGGAGACCTACACAAGAGCTTCTTTTAAAAAAAGAATTACTCTTTGGTCATGGCAGGGAGGCAAAGGCAGGTGGATCTCTAATCAAGGCCAGCCTACTATACATACTGACCTCCAAGCTAGCCAAGGCAGCCTAGTAAGACGCTGTCTTAAAAAGGAAAAGAAAAGAAGGGGGGGGGCATTGAATGCTGTGATAGTTTGAATGATAATGCCCCCCACAGGCTGCATATTTGGATGTTAGTGTCAGAGCTGAAGGATTAGGGGGTGTGGCCCCTGTTGAAGGAGATGTGTCACTGGCAGTGGGCTTTGGGGTTTCTAAAGCTCACATTAGACCCAGAGTCTCTCCTTTTCTACCCATTGCCTATAGATGAGGATGTAAGCCTCTCAGCTATTCTCCAGCTGTATGCAGGTCTGCATGTTGCCACACTTCCCACCATGGTGGTAATGGACTAGACCTCTGAAACTGTAACCAAGGCCCCATTTGAAGGCTTTCCTTTGTAAGAGTTGCTTTGGTCATGGTGTCTCTTCACAGCAGTAGACCAGTCACTAAGACAAGAGTAATAGAGGAAGACAAATGATATGGACCTATGGCCTCCACACATGTATGTATTTTGGTGCACATGCTCCGCCACACACGTGCAATGCAGGTAACCCACACATATACAAATACTAGATTGTTCAGCTAAGCGAGACCGATGTCTGCCTCTACTATAACTGATCTAAAAATGCTGTCAGGATTATCTTTGCACAGTGATAATGCTATGCTCAGAAGTAGCAAGGTGCTAGAATAGTCTAGGGAGTTCTAGCAAGATTGCTAAAGGAAAGTAGTGCTTGGCATTGTGGGGAAGCAGGGGCCAGCAGTCACAGGGAGAGGCTGAGGGATGTCAGATAGTGTGCTGAAAGTGAGATGAAACTACCCTTCGGAGAAGACCCAAAGGGAATTCAAGGTGCAGAGCTGCAGCCGTTGAATTCTAGTCAACTGACAACCCTTTTCTCCACAAGCTCTAGAATCTCTCCCATAGGCAGACAAAAGTCATCCTAATAGGCTGTCTCTCTGCCTGCCTGCCTGCCTGCCTGTCTGTCTGTCTGTCTGTCTGTCTGGAGATAGGGTGTCACTATGTAGTTTTGGCTAGCCTGAAACTCACTACCTAGCTCAAGCTGGCTTTCATTTATTTTTTATTTATTTATTTTTGTTTTCCATGACAGGGCTCTGGCTTTCCTGGAACCCACTCTGTAGATCAGGCTGGCCTCTGCCTCCCAGTGTTGGGATTAAAGGTGTGCACCACTACCACCTAGCTCTGGGCTGACTTTCAAGTTGTGGCTTTCTTGTCTCTGCTTTCTGAGTTCTGGGATCAAATAGTTTAATATTTGATGCTAAGGCATGGTGACATTACACCTGTAATCCTGTCACCCAGGAGGCTGAGTGTAAGCTGAAGGCCAGCCTGGGCTATGGTGTAAGTCCTAGGTCAGCCTGACAGATAGGAGGAGGCTCTCTCTCAACACCCCCCCCCCCCACCCCAAGATTAAAAAACCTTAACACAAAGAATAAGACACAATATGAATATGGGTATTCTTATTCATATGTGTGAGTCCATTCCTGTGTGTGCATAATTTTATTGGTGAAGAAAAAGACAGAATATTGATATCAGGAAAAGACATAATGAAAGAATGAAGGATGAACCGGTAGACACATGAGATGGGGAGGGAAATTTTAAGTGCACAGGAGCAAAGGGAGAGCATTTCTTCGTGTATTGGAATTGTTTTGTATCTTGATTGTGGTGATGGTTATATGTGTTAAAAGTCACGAAGCTGTATGCCACAAAAGTTAATTTTATTCTATTTATTTTAAGAAAAACTGCGCTGGCAGCTTTCTCCTTGATGGCTGTGAATGATCGTGGTCTAGCTGCCCCAGTTAAAGGTTGTTCTCTTTTCCAACCACGAGAATACACGCAGGTTTTCCTGCAGATTATAGCTTTGATCCAAGGCCTCAGATAGTGCTGTTAAAAAGATAGAAGCAGCCATTGGGTAGGGTATCACATGCCTGTAATCTAACACTGTGGTGACAGGGACAAGAGGATTGGAGTCTGAGGCTAACCTAGCCTACATAACAAGTTCCAGGCCAGCCAGGGTTAAATGGGAGAACTTTTCTTCTTCTGTCCCCCAGATAGCAGATTCTCAGATGGCTGTACCAGCTGGGAAAGAAAGTTCTTGGCACAGAGCTGGGCCATGCTAAGTGGCCAGGAAGAGAGTAGTGTATCAGAGAGCTGAGAAGACAGCCAGTGTGACCATGAAGTGGCTGTAGAGGATGAAGCTGGAGGTAGGAGCTGGCTTCTGTAAAGCAGCCATAAGGATTCTGAGTTCTGTTGTAAGAGATAATGTAAACCACTGAAGCTTGCCTCGAACAGGACTGACGAGATTCCAGATGGGAAGATGGCACTGGACGGGCTTCTGGGTAGAGTGTGGTAATGTGAGGGACCCAGGTGAACCTGCTAGGAAACTACTGTGGATTGCTAGACAAGAACTGGCTATGTCTTGGTACCAGACAGCAGTTTTCCAGTGGGGGCTGTTTGGCTTGAAAGATATTTAGCAATGTCTGGCTGTTCTACCCAAGTGGAGGGGTGTACTGGCAGGCAGCAGGGTTGAGGCTGGGACTGCTGCCAGAGACATTGTTAGTGCAAAGAGCTATTCTTCATGCAAAGAACCACGTGGACAAACATGTCAGGAGCGCACAGAATAAGAAGCCCAGTGTAGGGTGACGAAGGCTGTGGATCTGCAGGGAACAGCTAGACAAGCAACCGTGACTTAAAATTTCAAACACATAATTTTCATGGTTTATGTTCTGAAATCAAAGTTTGTCTATTTTCATAATACTCCCAAGTTTTTCTAGTTTCATGATATTCCAGTAGGGGAAAAAATAGAATTAATTGGATGGTGACCCAACAAGTGATCAGGTCAGGCTATCAAATTAGTTAAAAATTCAAAATTAACTTAATGATCAAACTTGAGAACTCTATTTAAAAACAGGAATACAGTGTTAAAGGGAAATAGACTGGCTAAGTTGAGTGATTGTTCTTCACTCTCAGAATAATTTGGGCCACGAAAAAGAAAGCGGTCCCCAAGATTGAGCCTAGAGCTACACAGAAGACAGAATATCTGCTTTTTTCCTTTTTTAAAAAAAATTTATTTATTTATTTTATGCATATGAGTATACCACCATTGTTCTCTTCAGACACACCAGAAGAGGGAATCGGACCCCATTACAGATGGTTG